TTCAACTTCACAAGAATAACTTCTGTGCGCAGAATGCAGCACTGTAGTTATTATTAATTCAAATATAAAACTCTAATAATGCAAAATTTCCTAGAAAATATCTCGGCCCAAAAACACTACAACTTACGTTGAGTCTGTTGTCCCTCTAACTGCTTTAGAACGAGTATGCTCTATGACGTCATCGTACTTCCGGTAATGCATGTGGCCTCAGACCACAATTATTTTCCTTCTTTGCTATCTACAGTGACATGCCAGTGCACCATAATTAATATCGGCCGTAGGCTGTTCTCCTGTTGCATGCTGACCAACCTGCCACTTGTCACTTAACCGGCAAAATATGGGCCTGGATCGTCCATGTAAATTTGATGTATCAACTGTAAACAATGGTCACCGGAAGTTACGAGCCGAAACACACTAGACAGCCTTGAACTTGGGGGTCAAATCAAGGAAGGCTGGTGTTAATATACCTGCTTGTCAGTGACAACACACAGAGATGGGATATATAGGTACATCCTGTGCTCAGAGCTCATTAGTTCTATTCGACACAATCACGATGAAAGGCGACCGCAAGAGAATCAAGTCACAGTTCAGTGAAGGCCATACTCCCTGCAACAAAGGTCTCACCCTTGAATCGGAAGAGTCTGAAAGTGCCTCTCCACCCCAGATACCCAGGACCTGCTCTAGGTTGAGTGCAGAAGACTTCCCCCTGGTCACCAAGTCAAGGCTGGATGGCACTGGGCTGTCAACACCTGACTGCGATGGCATCTCTACTTCAGTGAGGCTGCTGCGTCCCACTTCAACCAGCAAGCATGACCTGAAACAAGAGTCAAGCAAAAGATGACTTGGAGGGTATGCGACTAGTCGACAATGAAAAGGTGGCCAAAGCATTGAACACAGCTCTGCGACTGCATCTGTCAACATCCAGTGACTGTGACGACCCTCAGCTGCAGATAGCCAAGGAGAGAAAATGGGGAGCATGCTGGAAAACAACACTGAAATGTTTCACATGTGACTTTGTAGCACCTGAAATGAAGTTAAACAAAGAAATCGAGACAGGTTAACCTGGGCCAAACCCAGCAGCACCCAACGTCGGACTTGCCTTGGGTCTACAGGACACACCTATAGGAAATGCGAGAGCGAGGTTACTGATGGCCAACATGGACATTCCATCCCAATGCAGGCGCAGTATGCAGAGGACCTCGAACAAGGTGGCTAAGGCTGTAACTGAACTTAACACTAAGGATGTGTCAGAAAGGTGGAGTTAGTGAAGGAAGTTAATCGAAGAGGGGTACTGAGCCATGTGAGATGAACATTGCTATGGATGGCCGATACAACTCGACAACAAAAAGCAAGCAGTAAGAAGCCAGGGCAGAATGCATCACAAGCAATCGGCATCGCCTACGAAACTGTTACTGACAAGAAGTTCATCATCGGTGCGTCATTCCAGAATAAGCTCTGCTGGACTGGTGCCTGGCTGAAAGGAAAAGGCATGGATGTGAAATGTCCAGGGGGGCACCCAGACTGTACTGCGAACATGTCGGCCTTCACTCCATTCTCTGAGTTCAATATGGGAGAGGACATTGGTAATAAGCTCGCACTACAGGGTGTACCACAACCGATGGGGATTCGAAGTCTGCAGATAGAGTAGACAAAGCTCTGTAAGTGTTGGAAGGTGCAAAGGCTAGCTGACCCAACCCACTTGCCTCAAGGGACAATGTTACTGAGCTGATTTCAACCCAGATATGTTCCCGGCACTACTCGTACACATAAAATGGAAGCAAAGAAGGTGCTGAGCCAGGATGTCAAAGCACGGTGCAGCCTGATACTAAAAGAACTCATGAAAGATCATGCAGGTGACATGAAAACACTTCGTAGTATCTTACCAAGAGTGCTCGAAGCAACCCTCAAGTGCTACAGCGGCGACTGCTCCAGGTGTGCCCGATACTCAGTTTGTGTGTGGTGGGGTGTAACAAACAGCTGGTGGCAGCGATCCATGTTCCTCTGCTGTAACAGTATCACTCATTTCAAAAGGATGACAATGATAAACACTTGCTTAATGAAATTCTCAAAATGAAGTTAGTGTAGAAGTGGTGGAACAAATGAAACTGTACACAGACACACAGAAATGTGAAGCTGCCAATCGATCACTGAGTATTTCTTTGCCAAAGAATGTAAACTTTTCAAGGAACATGATTGGGAGGGCTTCTTCCACAATTCACAGGCTCAACAATGGCCCTGGGACATCAGCAATCGATAAGTGCGACCATTCTGGGGCGAAACTTTCAAGCCGAGCTGTGCGGTCACTTGAACAAATGGACAAGGAGTCTACCTATCACAAAGACTATCAGAAAATACCCAGTGTTGTGAAAAGGAAACTTATACAGCATGGAAGCAAGATCTGTGAACATTTGAAGTCTAAACAGACTGACAAGCAGAGTGGGGACTACAGAAAGGGTCAGTTAGACCCTGTACCGTGTTTCAGCAAAAGAACTGAACATTCTTATTCAAAATATTGAAAATGTGCAGTGATGCTGCAGAACTGTATGTGCTAATTACTTGCTAAAGACAGATACTGTGTAACTTTAAGTTTAAATACATCATAATATCTCTAAAGCTATGTTTTGTGAATAAGTGCTATGTCACAACCAATTGTGACTGTGGTGAAAATCAGGAAATATGAATAAAATGTTACTATATCATATGATATAGTATTTTTCATATACTTTGCCTTTGTTTTTCTGTTCTCCTATAACTTCAATGCCAAAAGGCAATCTGGGAAAGGTGCATGGCCTTTACACACACCCCTGTTTACACAGGCCACTCTGTCTGCGTTTATGCTGTGTGGCTCAGCAGACAGGTGTTTTTTACTTAGGTGCATTTACTGTTGTGGCACAAATGGCTGATGTCGTAATCACCTATGTCGAAGTTTTCCCTGTGTACTATGAAACTCAGCCGGTGAGCATGAGTAGTACGCCACTGGTAGGCTGTGGGGCAAAAATACCTCAATACCCCATACCCACTGTGGTTGCATGCTCCAGTCAACATATGACATATGCCATTTTCCTCACTGAGGACTGAATTCTTCAAAAAATTGGCTCTATATCTTTTAAAAAAGGCTTGAATATTAGCCATTTTAGGTATCACATGCACCTAAAAGGCACGTGCGGCGTAGTTATACATACATTCACCATAATGGAACCAATCTGACTAAATATGATGCGTCCGCTCACTCACTAAAACAATATGCAATCAGAAAATTGAAATAAATTCATAAAAGAATTATATATTTTCAGTTGAAAACACATGTATATATATACTACTCAAAGTTTGATAAGGATCATATAGTTCTTACATTATAAAATCAATATATGAATTGATATGACACGCAAATTTCATCACAATGTTGGACTGACCCCTCTTGAGCCTCAAAAACACAGGTTAGGTAGGAAATGCATGCTGCAATGATCATGAGTAGCACGTGAAGCATGGTACCCACATTTTCACATTTCTGAGTGCTTGTCGTTGATTTGAATTTGGGCATTGTCTTTACATCTGACATCGTTTAAGTCACTGTTACTCTATGAAAATGCCTCCACAACGTCAAAGACGTCGTTTGACTGTTGAAGAATTGGCCAGATGCATAGGAATGCTCGAAAATGGTGCAAGACAACGTCACGTTGCAGAGCTATTGGGTGTCAGTCAGAGCGTTGTTTGCAGAGCTTGGAACCGGTATCAAGCTCATGGTTCAGCTTCTCTCATCGACATGGAGGCGGCAGAGAAAGGTCCACCACGCAGCAAGATGACCGTTTTCTCTTGATTTCAGCACAATCGTCATCGGTTTGCAGCGGCGACTGCGCTTAGAAATGATCTTCTGAATGCAACTGGAGTTAACATTTCCACGCAAACTGTGCGTAATCGTCTTCATGAAGCTGGTCTTCGTTCGGAGAGCCTGTATTCGCATCCCTCTTACTCAGCGACACAGACAAGATCGTTTGAATTAGGCCAGGGCTCATGTGAATTGGAGGGTTGTTGATTGGGCCCTGTACTTTTCACAGACGAGTCGAGGTTTTGTGTTGACTTCACAGATCGTCGATGCACGAGGTGTGGAGAAGGGCAGGAGAGCGATATCAGGGACGCTAATGTTGCTGAACACGACAGATATGGTGGTGGGTCGTTGATGATTTGGGGAGGAATCAGTCGAGCTGGACGAACTGATCTCCATGTCCTAAGGCGAGGCCGCGATGACGAGTGCGCTACAGGGATGAAGTCCTGGATGTGTGCGTGAGACCATATGCTGGTGCTGTTGGTCCTGACTTCATCCTCATGGACGATAATGCACGTCCACATCGTGCTAGGGTGGTGGACGAGTACCTGGAACGTGAGACAATTGTTCGTATGGACTGGCCAGCTCGTTCTCCAGACCTCAACCCTATCGAGCATGTCTGGAATATGCTTCAGGTAGCGATTTCACGTCGTCCTGTACAACCAACCACCCTCCAGGAACTTGAAAATGTTCTGATCCAAGAATGGAACAATCTCTATCTTGCGTCCATTCAAAACCTCGTTGGAAGCATGAGACGACGTTGCCAAGCTGTCATTAGAGCTAGCGGAGGCCATACCGCTATTGACACTTGTTTGTGCAGTGTGAAATGGAATGTGCAGAGTTTAAACAATTTTGTGATCATGAAATTACCATGCTTTTATGGTACTCTCCCTTTACCTTAGGAGTATGCGATGAAATGTCATGTTTGCCAAATTTTTCTGTCACAATTTCTTGAAGTAAACATTTCTGAACATCAATCACTCTGTGTTGGTTGTCATTCACCTTTGTTGAAAGTTTTACAAGTGCTGAAAAATATGATCCTTCTCAAACTTTGAGTAGTATATTTCAAATGTTCCTGTCAGTAAATATGCAAAGTTTCAAGTGGTTATTTTGAAAAATAACAGACATATAGCAAATTAAACACTTGCACTACCTTCACCATATCAGGCCTCAGACCACAATTATTTTTTCTTCTTTGCTATCTACAGTCACATGCCAGTGTACCATAATTAATATCGGTCGTAGGCTGTTCTCACGAAGATCGCCGAATTCGAACAATTCACATAGTTCAGGGTCTTTATGTGGTTTGTATTTACAGCAGAAATGTATGCAATTAGTTTTCGATTTAGAAAATTTAAAGCCATTTTAAGACACCATTTATTTATTTTGTTTTAAACCACAACTGCAGTTGCCGTTCAATGGAATGCATATTTTTTCTGCGACAAGAAATATTAAAATCATCCACAAATAACGATCCATCTATTGAATCATTTAAAACTTTTGACAAACTATTTATCTTTATGCTAAATAATGTGACAGACAAAATACTGCCTTCTGGAACACCCTGATCCTGCTTGTAATGATCAGACAGGGAAGAACCACACGGACTTGAAATTGTCTGTCCTTTAAAAAGTTGGCTATAAATTGAGGCAAAACGGCCTCGCAATCGAAACCATGTAAATCTTTTAAATGCCATATTTCCACGTAGTGTCATATGCCTTTTCAAAATCCAAAAGATAGACACAGCGTGTTGTTTTATTAATTAGGGCGTTTTTAACAAATGATTCCAAACGCACTAAGTGATCAACAAGTACTTCTATTTTATGGAAACCACATTGTATATCTGTTATATGGTTATTTGTTTCCAAAGTACCAAACAAGTCGATTATTTGAAATTTGTTCCATGGTTTTCAAACACAGCTAGTTAGTGAAATAGGCCTATAATTTGACGGATCTGTATGATCACTTCCAGGTTTAGGTATTGGTACTACTATAGCGTCACGCCATGAGGGAGGAAAGTTACCAGATGTCCAAATATCATCAACAATATTTAAAAAGAGTTTCTAGACAAGATTCTGGTAAGTGCTTCAGAAATTGATAATGTATGTTATCAGCTCCTGTAGCAGTATCGTGAGCTTGTTCAAGAGCAGTATGGAGCTCATGAATAGAAAATAGTTCATTATAGTCTTCCCCATTATCTGAATTAAAATTAATAGTTTTCTTTTCTTGTTGTTTTTGATATGGTTGGAATTTAGGCCCATAATTAGAAGAGGAAGAGTGTTTAGCAAGAGTTTCACCCAGTTTATTCGCAATATCTGATTATCAGTAAGTAATTGATCCCCATGTTTAAGATGATGGACACTGATCTCCAGGCAGCAATGATGACAGACCAGACAGCCTCGAATCGGCGTGCGAAGAAACCGACCATGTCAACAGTTTGCCACAAGAAACTTCGATGGCCGGTGATGGCGGCGTAATGACCATGACAAAGAAGAAGAAACAAAAGAAGAGGCGAAGAACCCTACCGCATTACTGACTACTGATACCGAGGATGCCTTTGACAACACCCGAGGAGATCACAAATAGGCCTTTCATAGTTTTTTAGAGTTGAGTTGAGTTGAGTTGGGCGAACAACACCGAGGGAGAGTGAGTGAGAAGTGAGATTTAACACATCGTCAATATTTCAAATATGACGAGAACACTTGTAAATGCGAATATATATAGAAATAATTATGAATGAAGGACGAGGGACTTGTCACAATTTAAAAGGAGTTGAGTTGAACTTGAGTTGGGCTTTAAAACAAGCGTCACACCAGAAGGTAGATTATAGGGACCAGCCATATACTTTGGCTACCTGCATGGACCCTATTCCAACCATATAGTGACGAGAACAAGTCTGCATTAGTATTTTTTAGAACAGATGGCAATACTTTAGGTATGTCATTTCCACAGGAATGATGTAAATTAACCACTAACATTGCGTGTATAAATAATCTTATCAAAGCGTTACCGTGATACTGCTGCAGCGTCTTTGTTTCAACGATGATAGCGTGGTAACAGATTTTAAAGTACCATTTCGACAGGGAGAGTAGAGAAGAAACTGTGAAAGACAGTCGTGGGTACTCTCGGAGACACGTGGGGGGCCTAGGAAACTGTTGACGGTTTAAGCCAGAACTACTGCCCACGAACCAATGATAAGCCGCTATGCCAGGGCGGCTTCTTTCCAGGACTGGCCTGAACAACTGGTTCAAAAAAGGAAGTCAGCTAGCCCAAAGAGGGACAAGGTCGCGTGTGCATGGTGACTGTGGAAATGGTGTGCAGAAGACGATATAGACTTTGAACACAACAGGTTCAACCCTTGGTGTGCATTTCTCAAAATTACGTGCCCGTCAGGTTTGATACTGACGGTGAGAACTGATTATGAACTGACATGAGAGCTGTTTTGTGAGTAGAAATGTGGTCGTTTCTATGCATAATTACGAATAAAGTTTGTGAAATGTTGTTTACTAGCCTCTGTTGTGTTTTATAAAAAGTGTTGACATTGTGTACCTGCATTGGGTATATTTTGGAATTGGTTTTAAACAATGAAGAATCACGATTGCTCGTGCGGTCTAGTATTGTAGAGAGCTTTTTATATAGATTGTCCGACTCAATGTCTTCTATGTATTTGGTAGAATATAACTGCCTTTCTGTGTTGTATGGCACCTCCCTTGAAGAGCAACCTCCTCGTGGTGGGTGCTGGGTAACGCTCAATGGCTCTTTGCCCAGTGTGGACCCGGGTCGAATAGGTCCTCAAAAATCTCCTCAAAATACAAGAATTTGTCAATATCAAGGTCGCTGTTCAGCACACAAAACCCTTAACTCGTGTAGAGGCATTTATGCGGGACAGAGCTCGATGCCTGTCTGACATGACTGAAGAACAAATTGTCAAGGGAACTCTCTCAGCAATCCGTCACAGCCGTAAGAAATGATTCACTTTCAAAAGGGCGGTGTTGTTCAACCAACGAACACCTATCTCTTCACGTTCGCGCGAGCAAACATTCCTGACTGGATTAGAGCTGGTTATTGTAGCATTGGTGTGGAGGTGTATGTCCCCAATCCACTCTGGTGCTACAACTGCCAAAAGTTTGGACATGGATCCAAGTCCAAGTCCATGGATCCTTCTCCTCTGCTGTTTGTAACCGCTGTGGTGACAAGCATGAGGGCAACGACTGTATAAGGAAGTGAAGTGAACAAACTGCGGTGGTAACCTTATGGCCTCTTCCAAGTTCTGTCCAGTGTGGCAGCGCAAATCCGAGATACTAAAGATCAAGCACAAAGAAAATATCTCCTTTCACGAAGCAAAGAAAGGGTTGCAAGTTTAACTGCAGCCCCTTCAGCCCATCACCTACTCTTCTGCTGTCTCCCGTCCTACTATCACTACTGCAACCATCTCATGTCAGACCGACCTGACATGGATCATGTAATCTTCTCAGCCAACTCAACTCAACACAACTCACCCTCCATCTCCAACGCCAAAAGTCAAAACCTCTGAATCACAAACACCAGAGCAAATGCCAAAACCAGAGACAGAAACTGGCGCAGAAAAAAAAGGAAAAAAGGCTAGAGACTAAAGCAACTCGAACAACCGCCAAACACAAAACCAAAGGCCACCTCTCCTTCAGAGGTCCCCATTGAGGTCCATAACTCCTTTGGCCCTCTGGATATGGAGGTAACTCAACTCCACCTCACACCAATAGGAGTTCATCTAGCGCTTTCTCACGTTCACGTGACACGTCACCAGTGGAAGCACCATGAATTGCAGAGGACTTAAGAATAATTTGCTTTCGATGTAGTATGTCAATTTTCTCATCACTGAACCTGTCCACGATAGACTACATGGTCAGCGGTTAGTGTCATAGTGGATGCCGGATGTAGTATTGCATTTTTTTCTCATGCAGCTTAACCCGACCACAATAGACTATAGGGCGAAGGATGGTGTCATAAGCCGGATCGTGCGATGTAGTATGACAGTTTCTCATCATAACCTGTCCACGATAGACTATATGGCCCAGCGGCTAGTGTTATATTGAATCACATGATTTAGTATGTCAGTTTTCTCATCTCTTAATCCGTCCATGATAGACAAGGTGACGACCCTAGTTCGCTCGTGGATTGACAACACATCTTTGACAGACTCACTCCCTGTCTCTACCATTCGATTTAAAGATATGGCTTCCAATGTTATGAACACCACTACTACTACTACTACTACTACTGTTGTTCCTACCCTGGGTGTTGAAGTGCTTGGCGTAAGCATTGCTGGAAATGTCCGGGGATCCAGCGACCATCTTTTCAGCACTGCCGAAGGCGGTGTGTGTGGGAACAGGTCGCGGGGAATCCGGGCATTGGGGATCACAGTGTCCCCAACCCTGTACGGTATGCAACATGGAGGGGCATTATCGAAGAAACTGTCCCACACTAGAGGGCAGGGTGTTGACCAGTCCCACGAGGACCGTCGACGCTAAAGTGCCCACCACCGTCCTACGTACACCCGACAATTCCACCATCCCCAGCTACGGCCAGTGTTTCCAGATGTGGGAGCACCGATCATTGGTCCCCTGACTGCCCTGGAGCAGTGTGTAACAGTTGTGGGGGCAATGGACACTTTGCTAGGCGGTGCCCCTCGACCCGCCGATTGTCAAGAAAGGAAAGGAGATGCGAGAAGCGACCTCTGGGATGAAGAGATGGTGGTACCCTTGGAGAGGTGCTCCAAATGCCTTAAAAAGACATCTGACGCGAGCACTCGGACAAACGGGCATTGGATGAGCTGCTTTCGCCCAGTTCAGGGGTTAGGAGCACACCCGGGTTGGCGAGGGTGTCCGTGGTGTATACTATAGGCGGCGACTCTACTCCAGAGAGTAGTCGCGGCGATTATCCGCCACCCCCTGTCGACGTAAGAGCCTCCGCCCTCCCAGATTAAGCCACCACCACTCGTGGACACGAGGATGACCACCCCGAGTTCCATGGGAACTCTCAAAGGTTGGATGGCGAGTCCCCACCTGCCTGTTCAATATGTGTGTGTGCTCCCTTTTGAGGGTGTTTGTAGACCCGGTATTGTTGTGTTATTGTATGTAAATATATATGCTCTATATATTTATATATATCTATCTATATCTAATAAATTGCATGTGACTGTAAACATTTTGGTTGTCGTGAGAGAGACCCCCAGGCTTTGACAAGAGTGTACAGGTGCTGATCGCCTGATGTGGAGCAACTTGTGCCCCGGGGTTGAGGATGATGTCCGCATGCGTCGTTACCCTGACTGTTTGACCTTCCAGATCACGTCAAAGCTTCGAAGTCAGTTAGAACCGACAACCCGGTGAGGTTGTATATTTTTGAGTGTCCTCTCACTACAGCAAAAGATGTCTCAGTACTATGATACTCTGAATCACCAGAAGGATGGAGAAAGGGGTGACTTGTCCGATTGCTATGAGGATGATACCGACGACGAGGAAAAGAGCCAGTGACTTTATCGGACTAGGTATCACGAAGACAGTGTATCGCTGGATGGTAAATATCATCTTCAACGTGGGCACGACACCTGTGAAACAACCATCGGTGGTGCATAGAAAGGTGTTGGTCAATTTAAGTCAGAACTACTGCCTCGAAATGATGTTATGTGGCTACGACAGGATGGCTACTTTTAAGGACTGGCCCGAACAGCTGGTTCAGAAGGGTAGACAGCTAGCCCGGAGAGGGTTTTATTATACCGGTGTTTCAGACTAGGTCGCGTGTGCCTTGTGTGGATTACGATTGTGGAAACAGTGTGCCGAGGATGATATCGACTTTGAACATAACAGGTTCAACCCATCGTGCTCATTCCTGAAAATTATGTGTCCCTTCAAATTCGACAGTGATATGAGGACGCATACTATCGTATGACGGTAAGTTATTGTATATCCACTCCTATATCGCATTGTTTTTAAAAATGTGTATATTCTCGTCGTTGTTGTTGTAGTGCTTAAAACTATGTGTAGAATATATTCTCGTAGCTGTTGTATTGCTTGTGAATATGAACATATGTTTGATGGTATTCAGAATAAAATATATGAGATGTATGAAAGTCTCTGTTGTATTTTTACGTGTTGTTTCGTACGGTCTAGTAGAGACCTCAGGAGTGCATGATTTATTTGGTACACTTTTAATCAATCATGCTAAAAACTAGATTTTACGTGTCTGCAATATTATATCACAATATGTATGATGCCTGTTTGAGAGGCTAAGAAACACATGACTGTCACAGGGTAGACGGACAGTGGTTACCGTGTGGGACATTTGAGACTTCCTGTGCCCTGGTTTACCATGTGGGACATTTGTCACGTTTTTGCTCGTTGTCCCAATGTGGGACGTATCAACTTTCTGTTTCCAGTTATCAAGATCATATTCGGTTTAGATTCGTAAGTAGCAAATCTGTACGTTCAGAAATAAATCAGTAAACACTCTTGCAAGAGGAATATCTATGAATAACTGACGACCAATATTGGAAACACAAGGCATATAAGTTACGATCATAAACACCTATGCATCATTGTTATCAGTTTAGCCCGACAGTTAAAATACAGTGCACCCTGGTTATAATGCCCCTGGTTATAATGCCCTCAGTTATTATGCCGCCCTGGATATAATGTCATGTTTTTGCCAGAACAGATTTCCTGCCTATATAAATACCCTGGTTATAATGCCAAACTAGATATTTATGGAACAAACAGACATTTTTCCCTGGTGATAATGCCAATTTCACTGGCTGCATGTAGTAGAAATACCTTAATTGGTTAATTGACATGACTGAAATTAATTGACAAAACTCATTCCCAGATAGGATAACACATGTGACAATACACTTCCTGACACCCACAAAACAAGACACCTGCGGTCCTTGGGCGCTGGCATTATCCAGACATTCAAGGCTCATTACATGAGAACCAGCTCAATCACCTTGTTGATTGCATAGGTCCTCCTGGATATAATGCAATATTCTCTCCTGGACAAACGGTGGCATTATAATCAGGTATACTGTACATTCCCGACCCTGCCCTTTGCAATAAAGGTAGTCGGAACCATCCTCTTATGCAACTCGAACATTTATACTTAGAGTCACCCGCCATTGACCAACCACCCTGGACTCGAACTTATTTCGTCAGACTGGACCACCATTAAAATGTAATCGTCACACTTCCCATGGCCGCCCCTTCACCCCATGTACAACTCCAGCAAAGAGGCTATATATATTGGGGCAAAGCTGCAGATCTCATATTCCATTACATCAAGATCAGCTGGTGTGTAGAAGATCATTACGTTTACCCTGGATGTCTAACCTCGGTCTAGCTTGACCACTGTTGCTGCAAGCTCAATATTATTATCGCTGACATTATGCCTGTTACTAATGTCCTTATATTTTACGATGGCGTTATAATGAGTACTGCATTTGAAGTTTGTATTTCAACTCTGCTGAAATATTTCTGAACCTCTTCTGGGGAACTTTACTGATTCAGTTAGGAAGTGGACACCTGATGAGACTCAAACTTGTTTCGTCATGCCACCTCACCATTTCCACGACCACAGTATTACACTGATTCCGTCTTGCTTCCAGTAAAATTGCCTAAACCCACTCGTCAAGACTCAGTCACCAGGTGTTGCTAGGCCAGAGCCTTCATTGTTGTAAGGATGCTACTATAGTTGAGTTGGGCTTTACGTCACATCGGCATTATTCCAGCCATATAGTGACGAGAACAAGTTTGCATTAGTAAACATTGTAAGTACATACTCGGAATGAGTTTTATTTCAAAGACATTTATTGATTACATTGTCATTCAAAAGCAGAAAAAGTCATAGCATCAAATTTAAAGGCAGGCGGTTTGTTACATTTCATAGTTACAATTTATGGTTGTTACATTTCACAGTTACAATTTATGATACAGATCAACTTCCCTCAGGTAGTTCAGTATCAGATGAAGCTCACGCGTGAGAACAGATCTTTAGGTTTGTTGCATCATAATGTGAGTCCCTTGCGGGCGATAAGTCCATGCATTCAAGCAGAATATGCTACTATGGGACTAAATCGTCCATTTTGAATTTATAATGAGGTCCATGGTTTTGAATCTATTTTTTATATGATGAGACACTGCTCTCTATTGTATATTGAGACCTATTGTGTGAACACCTGGTATTGTCTATTTTTTAGACCATCAGTCATTGTCTCAGGTCTATATTTAGATCTATTGTGTGCACACCTGGTGTGTCTATATTTAAAGTATGAGTCATGTTGTACATGGGTTTTCCAACAACGTATTTTTAGACTCTGAAAAAAACATGTCTTAAGACAAACATTTGTTTTCCTGTTTGAAATACACAATGACTACAGAAATACAAAATACATAGAATAAACACAACCTTAGCATATATTACAAAATGTACATGACATACCACACTATTCATCTGAAAATCAACTAATACTTTACAATGAATCGTTCTGTGTGCTATGTAACACCCATAGCGTCGTTAAAGGCATCAGACCATGAAAACAACGTGCTTGAAATACTGTTAGACACTGCATAGATCGACTTACCAGTCAGAGTTAAAATCCACAATAAATCCATCACATTTGTGTATTATAATCCATCAAGTCACAGAGTAACCATTAAGCCCAAGCGGCTGCTCACATTTCTAAATGAAGTCTTATTTTAA